TATAATATACAATTAAAATTAATTTTCATTACATTAATTAATAATTAATATTAGTAATATTTAAATTTTATTTATATTTTTTATAACTAATTAATATATGATATAATATTAGAAATGTATTTATATAATGTACGTGTGTTTTATCAACATATGGTAAATTGGATTGAGTTTTGCTTGGAATGAAAGTTATAATGAGAAGGTAAGAAGAGTCTTCACCCTTTGATCAATACTAATTGAATATCAACACTAATGAGATACACCAAGATATACCACATTAAATCACATATCAAATGCAATTCATAAGATATGATGAGATTAAAAGTGATAAATGATTCAGATCTCATCTTAACTTATATTCTTACACGATACTTCATCATATCTTTTCAATATACTAAATATGTTAATATAAATATTTTTACATGTAAATATCCTTGTGATTGGAATCTTATAGTTTTCTTAAAAATTGAAAAACATATACACGATATGAGTATTAATTTTTTAAGTAATAATAATTATATTTAAATTAAAATCTTAAAGAAAATATTAAAATTACTTTATGGTGTTTATAAATTTATTATCAATTATTTTTATTTACTTTTAGAACCGATCTAGTTTGGAACAAATAGAGTGAATTACATTTGTTGTCCCTTGTCTATCGTTGTTTTCTGGTTTTCGTCTATACAATTCGTAAAGTACATTAGTGGTCCAAATTTCGTGTTTCGAAGCCCATATTAGTCTCTTCACTTAAAATCGTGAAAGAAGGCTCTGTTAAGTAGGGGTGTGCATTGGTCGGGTTTTGGGTATAGTTATATGCAATATATATGTATACACACACACACATTTAATCTATTTTGAGGATAAATTCAATCGATTAAAAGGATTGATGAAATCAATAATAAAGTTATAGATTAGAAAGAATAAGACCGACTAAGATTTACGATTTTCAAAAAATAAATAGATAGATAAATATATTTATATAATATTTAAAGATATATATATATATATATTTTAATATATTAATATATATTTGGTTTTGTATGTTGGGAAGATGAAGAGATGAATTTTGGAATTCAGTTGTCGTTTGGGTTTTGCACAAATACCTTATTTTTAATTTGGGTTTGGGTTCAGGTTTCGGATCATTTAGGTTTTGCACACCCGTATCAATAAGTCAGGTATGTGCCCCCTCACTTGATAGGATATTTTTGTCTTTTTATGCCTAAATTTAGAGTGAGTTGCATTTTTGGCCTCTTGTCTATGGTTGCTTTTTGGTTTTCGTCCCTACAATTTGTAAAGTACACCAATATAGTAGTCCATTTTTTGTATTCCAAAATGATGTATTCCCCGACATTGTTTCTTCAAAAAATCTCACCCTCCCTAAAAACTTTGTGTTCTTTGAACCCTTCTGCCCTCTATCATTGAAGCTCCTACCCCTCCATGAAAACCCATGTCCTCCCTGATCTAAAATGGTGAACCACACTGACTCAAGCATAGTCCTTAGGTTTCGTAACCATTGTCAAACATAAAAGGGTGAAAACCCATGTCCAAGAACTAGGGTTTTCACAGAAAGGATAGGGTTTGCTGGATAAACAATGTCAGATTGTCAATGGAGGGACCATTGTGGGCTTCAGAACATAAAAGATGGACTACCAATGTACTTTACAAATTGTAGGGACGAACACCAAAAGCAGCCGTAGACGAGGGACCAAAAATGTAATTTACTCTAAAGTTAGGCATAGAAAGACGAAAATGTCTCTCACGTGAGGAGCACATGACAGACTTAATAGAGCCTCCTACAACAGAGGGACTAGTTTGAGCTATGAAACACAAAAGTAAGACCATTAGTGCATTTTACAAATTGTAGGGACCAAAACAAGAAATCAGCCATAGACTAGGGATAAAAATGGAAAATTTGCACAAATAGCCACCTTACAAAATTGATTTCACTTTTTAGCTATTTTAGGAACCATTTTCCTCAAATAGCCAAAGTTTACACTTAAACTTTACGCACAAAAATAGTTTCTGTGTAAAATTTCAATTTAGTAAAAAAAGTTACACCTTACACCTTACACTCTTATAATTAGTTATTTAATTTACTTTATGTCCGTTACTTTTTCATTTTATATCTTTATTATATTAACACATATAATCGTATATTAAATAAAATACACAAAGAGATTATGTTTATTTTTTTTTACAAATTACATCACTATAATTATCTTGTCAATACGTTCAAAATGAGTCAAATATTATATATTTTTGGATTTAATCTTATATTATTAAATATTATAAAAGTTAAGTATTTTTAGTACTACATTTTATACCTTATAGTTACAGGTTATGTGCGTTAATATAATAAAGATGGAAAACGAAAAAAAAAACATTGAATAAATAACCATAAAGGTAGAAAATGTAAGTTATAAACATAATTTACATATATTTATAATATTTAATAATATAAGATCAAATCCAAAAATATTCAATATTAGACCCAAACCCATTTTGAACGTATTGACGAGACGATTATAATGCTATAATTTGTAAAAACTAAAAAGAGAAACATATTTTTTTATGTATTTTAGTTAATAACAATTATATGTGTTAATATCATACAAGTGTAAAATCAATAATTAAGAGATATAAAGTAAATTAAATAATTAATCATAAAATGTAATATAATTTTTTTAATATATTAAAAACTTAGATAGAAAAGGGATTTTGTGCCTAAAGTTTCATTTTTTTTTTGCACAAATTAGCTTCAATTTTTTTAAATTAACCTGGACATCCAAACCATTATGCGAGCCGACTAATTTCAGAACGACCATCTGCTTTGCAAATAGCCCCAATTCACCATATTTGAATCTCTGTAGCCACATGAAGATTTTTATTTCTCCTCAGGTTTGAACCTGAGATTTCCTGATACTTTTGATCTTTGGAGCCAAACTCAAACCAATCAGATACAAGTTTATGTTAGCTTCAATTTTTTTTAGGTCTGAAAATAAAATTTAAGCAGAAACTATTTTTTATTATAAACTTTCATTATTTAAGGAAAAAAGTTTTTAAAATGAATAAAAAATAAATCAATTTTATGAAATTACTATTTACATAAATTTCGCGATAAAAATGTCTTAACAAATATTTATATCAACTGTTTTTAAGAATGTTGTATTTCCGGTTCCTTTATATAAACAGACAATCAAATTACGTTCAACACATCGCCATTGATGCTCAGCTCCATTTTAGCGCTAAAATCCTTCCAATTGTATTGTCTCCATCTCCACACGGTTCCGATATGGTTTCCACTGTTGACCGATCGGAGATAGCTTTCTTTGATCTGGAAACAACTATTCCGACCCGTGTTGGACAGGGGTATGCCATTTTGGAATTTGGGTCGATATTAGTTTGTCCTAGGAAGCTTATTGAGCTGGAGAGCTACGATACGCTAGTTAGACCACATGATCTGTCCCTCATTTCAACCTTATCCACTCGCGCCAACGGTATCAGCGCTGACGCCGTCGTCTCCGCCCCCGCCTTCTCCGACATCGCCGATAGGGTCTACGACATCTTACATGGTAAAGTATTCCAATTTTCGTTTATCCTATCAAGTATTTACTGAATTGTGAATTTAGTTTCTAAGTGTTTGATGGATGGATTGTTAGGAAGAGTTTGGGCGGGTCACAATATATTGAGGTTTGATTGTGTGAGGTTGAGGGAGGCGTATGCACAGATTAATAGACCGCCACCGGAACCCAAAGGAACCATTGATTCATTGGCTTTGTTAACGCAGAGATTTGGGAGGAGAGCCGGTGATATGAAGGTATATTATGACTCCCTTTTATTTTAACTCAAAATGCTCAGAATCTTGAGATATGACGGATTTTTATGAAGGGTTTTGTTCAAAGATTGGTTTTAGTGTCATTTTGTTACATATTTTTCTGTTCTGATGGAACTGTGGAGTTGATAATTCCTCAGAATTTGTTCGATGGGCGATAATATATTTGACACCATTTTAGAATCTTGTTCTTGAACCTTGCATATCAAGATTCAAAAGGAATCTTTCTGGTACTGGAATTTTCAAGATGATAATTTACGAATACAGTAGTTAGCAGATGTACTCACGGAAACAGCTGCACTACTCTTTCAAATAGAGGTCCGGCTTGTCTACATCTTACCGCCCCACCCACCGCTGGGTGGGATATATGGGCTTGTTTGGTCTAATATAATTTATGAATCCGGGTATTCTTGCTTCTTAGTTGACACGTTTTGTCCATATGGTTGTGACACAGCCAAGCTCCAACTTTGCAATATGCAAGCATAGAGGCCATTTCCATTCATTCATTGCCCTTCAATACCTTATTTTCTGGTTCTCTATATAGTAAAGTTGCAAAGATCTAAGTTACTCCACATGATTATTTTGTGCTCGGTGGTCTGTACAATTCGGATTTGTGAACCAATTCTGTTAAGTGGCTTATATTAGTTATCTGCCTTTTATTCAGATGGCCACTCTGGCGGCTTATTTTGGGCTTGGACGGCAAAGTCACCGGTAATTTTCCTTTCTACCAACATAAATGTGGATTACCACATTTTTAAATTTAAAATTTGTACCATTTTCATATGCATAAACTTCATGCTTTATCCATGATGTTTTTTCCCTTTCTGTTTTTGTCTCTGTGGTTGGTTCTTCTTGTGTGGTTTCAGAGTTCTTTTTTCCCTTTCGGATTTTATAATAACAGTATAAAGAAGTATATTACCTGCAGGAGTTTAGACGACGTTCGACTGAATCTTGAAGTTCTCAAGTACTGTGCAACAGTTCTTTTCTTGGTAATTTCTCATGGAAACATTCCCTTTGCTTTCTTTAAGTTCCAAGCATTATTTTCTCCGTATGCATAAACTTTTGAGTTTGCAATTATGAAAAAACATTTGAGTTTAGATTCTTTTTCGAGTTATACCATTGCATCTTCTTGTTGGTGATTTTGGTGTCACCGGTTTCATTTAGTGTAAGAGGTAAATATACGAGAGCTAAAGGGGATCTTTACTTAGTTTTTAATGCAAATTAGGAGGTGCGGAGTGCACACTTGTATAAGACTAGGTTGATCCCGGTACGACCAAAAGGTGGGGGTCAAGGGGGCTGCTCCCCTGGCGGGGGTACCGCTGCCCGGTCAGCGGTCGGGGTCGAGGGGGGCCGACCAAAATTTTAGTTTCTATGGAAAAGTGTTATGGAAAACATCACAGCCTCGGTAGGCAGCTGATTCATTTGGTTCTTGACATATGGTTAGTTCCTAACGGATCTTTTTGGTTCTTAACTGTTGTTAACCTTCTCATTACCTTCCATAACTGTTTGGTCTTATCCAATTTCTGGAAATAACCCTCGTTTTTGGCTCTCGAATCTGAAGATTGATACATTTCAAAACCAATAGTAATATAATCTAATTTCTGTGCCTAAGAAATTTGATTGTTCCTCTTGGATTATCCCATATTCAGAATTCCGTGGAAAGTGATATACACGATCCAAGCAAGAATGCAAGCAATTGTGATTTCTGAAAACCAACCTATTGTTCATCTACCCAACACTTCTTTCTAGGGAACTTGTTGTTTAATGGAGGATGAATTCAAGAAAATAAAGTTAACAATCTTTCTTTTCCACTCTTGAAGTTGCATTTGTGGACAATTATGGTTCAATTTTGCAGATTCACTATAGTATAGTTTTCATGCAGGAGTCAAGCCTACCAGATATATTCACAGAAAACAATTGGGCTTCTCTGAATTCTACTACAAGTTATCGTTGTAATGGCAAATCCACTCTAGAGGGGACAGGATCGACAACTAGTCCACTCTCGTCTAGCAGAAACATCGAAAACCCTACATTACCTCTAAATCCAACTTTTTCAGTAGTCATTCCAGAGGAACAGATTCCAAATCTAGTTGAATCTGGTAGTGCTCGATTTGACCCTTTTCAGATGGGCCAATTTGTAGACGAAATGGAGAAGGAATCCCTTCAATCGAATGAAGCCATGGTGGAAGAATCATCTACCACCACTCTATCTGATGCTGTCAGCAATCGCACTGAATTCATAGAGCCTGATGAAGTATCCATAGCTTCAATCACTGTAGCCGTTTCCCCCCTTTTTCATGGGTACCAGAGGATGCAAATGCTTCACAGAGATATCCCGATGCAGATTCGTTGTGATCGGATGTTGATATGGTTTGGATTAAGCACAAAATTTGTGGATCGGCTAAGTTTTGTGGTCGATGCAAACTCTTCAAATCTATGTGGTGTACTTGATGCATGTGATGATATTGCCAAGAGATTTGTGGATCCGGATAGGAACTCAGAATGGAGACCTGTTGTGAGCAGAAAGCCTGGCTTTTACAACTCGCCCACCGTTAGATTGCAGTAAGTTGGTGTTTTGCTCTTTGCACTACAACAAAATCGGCTTTAGAGGACGTCAAAATGTCATAATATAATGCTTTATAGGACGTAAGTTTATATGATCACATCTTTTTATACCGACACTTTTTCAAATAGTCATATAAAAATACTATCAGTAAACCACAAGGGTGGTGCCTGATTGGTTTGAGCGTGGCTCCAAAGGTCAAAAGTACCTGGAGGTCCCAGGTTCAAATCCAAGGAGGAATAAAAATCCCCTTGTGGCCACAGAGATTCAAATGCGGTGACTCCGGGCTATCTGCAAAGCAAGTGGTCGCCCTGGGATTAGTCGGCTCGCATAGCGGGTTGGATATCCAGGTTAATAAAAAAAATACTATCAGTATAGTATGCTTTATTTCAAAATTGTCCTCAAAACTTGTTAGGACACGCAAAAGCATCTTATCAATTAACTACAACACATTTACATAGGACGGCATATAATTGTTTGGTCCTACAAGCAAAAGTCCAGTAAAGCAGTCTATTTAGACATTTTTGGCGTCCTATAAAGCTATGTTGTAGGCTTGTTCCAGTTGTATTGAAATGTCTATATCCAAAAAAATTACATACACGCATACTATTGTCTGTAAAAAGAAGATTCATGGTATGAAGTTTGTGGTCAAACAGGATAATTTCTTATAGATGTAAATTTGACTATTGATGGTCAAACACTTACTTTCTAATATGCCATTTCTACAGCTTACCCACTGTAGCAGGAGATACCACAAGATGGATCACAGAGATATACCATCAACAATCATCATTATTGCCACCCACCCAATTGTTTGTTTCCGGTAACTATGATGTGGCAGAACTCGACGCCTTGTTTCGTCCAGGTTTCGTTGTGGATGCTTACTTCTCTTTAGATCCATATAATTATCAACAGAATGCCGGAATACGTTTAGTGGCCAAGAAGTTGATTGTTCATACTAACTGAAAGGTTTTCGTGCATACCTTTCTTGTAGCTGATTTTAGCTGACAGTTAGAAGGAATACTTCATTTAATACTTGTAAAAATGGTAAACTAAATGTAGGGTTTCAATTGATTTATGTCAACTTATATATATATATGTTTGTTTTTCTCATTTATATTAAATTCCTTTTACGATCTTGATTCTCATTCTGTTTTTACTCTAAATGCTGCAATCTGCAAGAAGAAAGAGCATCAAATGCTTGCAAGTTATGCAGAAATGCATTATGCTGGTATGATCGCATCCACCCAGAAAAATAATGCACGGTTTACTCCAGATATTTACAGGCAACCCATGTGATCTAGAATATTTGTTCCTTCCATGTGGTTTGGTGATGATCTCTTTCTTAGCTTCGTTATATAAACCAGCTTCTGTATATGTTCTGTGCGGGTATACTTGTTATTTTCTCTTTTTGCAGGAGTTAATTACACGATGGATAAAGATAAGAGTAAAAGAGGAAAGAACAACAGCAAAAACACTAGCATTTCTGGTACTGTAACTACAAACGGTAACCCTAATGGTCGCTGCAATTTGAGGATTTTGCTTTGTGATACCAATGTAGAGAGTTGTCGCGAAGTTTTTTCCCTTCTTTGCCAGTGTTCTTATCAGGGTATGCTACCACCTAAACCCATTAATCTCAATAATGATTTTCAACGACTATTCATTAACGTTAATATTGAGTCCTTTAATAAAGTCTAAATCTTGAATCTTTCCTTTTATAGTAAGTTCTGTTGTCATGATTCATGGGAGGACCCTTCTAATTAAGTGTCAAATTTTTATCATGGTGTCATCTGGTATTGTTTCTTTAAGGGTTTTTTTGACCTTATCTTGCGTTAAATTTAATCTGATTTGTAGTTACGCAAGCGATTACAGCAGCTGAGATGAAGGATGCATTGCTGTTAGAGGGGCCTTGTACTGATATCATTCTTTGTGAGGCCAATCTTCTGCTACTTAACAACGGAGAGTTGTTGAAAGCCATCACAGAAAACAAAATGCTGCAACACATCCCTGTGATCAGTACGTAAGCGTTAATTTGCTTGAGGTATTCTTTGGAATTCCATCGTTTTTCTTTTTATTGATTTCTTTTTCTTTCGGGTTTTTAGTGATTTTGACCGAGGATCAAGTGTCGCTTACTTTGAACGGGTTGGGACTAGGAGTAGCTGACTACCTTATGAGGCCTGTAAGTGCTGATGAACTCCTCAACTTGTGGACTCATATTTTAGCAAGAAGCTGATTACTATATATATATATATATATATATATATATATATATATATATATATATATATATATATATCATGATTTCTAGTGTATCCCACTCTATAATAAATGAATGATGATTTCTAGTTCATTCCACTTTATAATGAATGATACTTCCTATTAATGGAAAGGTTCAAGAAAATCATCCATGGTGCTTTCATGAGATAATCTAGGACTTTGGAGGGCTTTTTGGTCCGGTTATTGATGTTTAGTCGGCCATGTGACATTGCGATTTTATACTACCAAGACAATAGATCGAGTTGACGAATAATAAATAAATCAAAATATAAAAGTTCATACTGTGTATTATATTAAAGGTCTTATATATAAAAACAATAAAAATGTCTTAAAATAACCAAGTAACATATGAAATTCACTTGCATAGAATCATTTTTTTGACATTTTTCAAAAGCCGGATTCGGGAATCATAAATTGGCTAAAATGCTAAAACATGTGTAATTTAAGCCAAGAAAATTTTAGTGGCCTTGCTCCATAACTCACATTAGAACACCTTCAGCACGACCGGACCATGCTTGTAGTTCCTTCGTGATTGTTATGAACCTGCATCATGAACTTGCAACATATTCCGTCATGAATCTCCTTATCACAAACACTTGATGATCTGTTTTCGGTTTTTCCCATTTCAGTAAAACACGTATAATTAGAAACAAGACGTGAAATAGAGATTAGAAATAGGAAACAAGGGATAAAGATCCATTTTGATGACGGAAACCGGAAAGACCATATCTCCATATATCACCCCGGAAGGGTGACAGCGAAAATGAAATGTCGATCTTACCCATCATCAAGAACAGAGACATACAACGGAAATGAAGAGATTTGCAGGTGGTTACAAGGCTATATTATGGAAAAGGTGCATGAATGTAAAAGATGGTATGAGAATGGATATGGGAACCCATATCATATCCATTGGAGAAGAGAAATAGACCAAAAATCACCTAACAATTAGGTAAGGCCTCAAAGTTTGGTAGGCCAAACTCTTTGTTGGATAAATGAAGCATGCACAATTTTGCCATGTGAGATATATGATGAATAGCATGCCATGTGATTCCTATTCACATGTGCATGTTGCACAATTTCTCAATGTGAGTCATATGATGCTTGTAAACAAGGCCAAATAGAAAAGAAGCTTGAGAGAGTATTATGAAAAGGGAATAGGTCAAGGATACCGTTTAAGTCGAGCTCGAATAATCTTTTTCAAAATAACGTTTAAGTTTGATATTCGTTTAACAATTTTGATCAATATGATATAAAAAATTTGAACTTTATAAGATCGTTTAAGAGTTCGAACTCGAAATCGATTGAATCGTTCATTGGCTCAAGCTCCGTATCACTTGCAACAACCTTATTTTTTTTTTCTTATAATTTTTTTATCTTTTGATTATTTGATTTATGAACATGATTACAACAACATTAGGTTTATAGAACGTCTAAAAATGATTAAGCGTCCTAATAGAATATTTTACGAGACTTAAGATTTTTGGACCAAACAAAAAAACCGTCATATCTAAAAGTGTTACAATAGGATTATAGGACATTCTTGAGCGTTTTAACAAGTTTTTTAAGACGCTTTTGAATTAAATATCATATTAATTATTTTAATACGATACTATTTGAAAAAATGTTCTATAAAAAAATGAGTTTATAGGTCATTTCTAAAAAACGTTCTATAAAATAGCTAATACGATATCTTATTTTACAAGTATCCTAATTTTTTTGTTAAAACGCCTAAAAATGTCTCATAAACCTATTGTAACAGTTTTAGATACAAACATTTTTATAGTTTGTAACTATAAATTTAGGTCCCATAAATTTAAGTCCTATAAAGAATTATCTTAAGTAGTTTAAACATTTTAACCGTCTTATAAACCTAGTTTTGATGTAGTGACGTTTGACTTGAAAAAGTGTATTCCTATATGACATGGCTTAACTCGACTATGAATCGAAAAATTCAATAAGGTTTTATACGAACTGAATTAAACATTGGTTTTACTGAACTCGATTTATTCATACAAACAAACTTTGTATTCGAGATCGACTCGAGAATTAATAAGCTTCAGCTCAAAAATCAAATAACCCATTAAATGATTGAATCATTAACGATATACTAAGGAGCTTAATTAATATTGCAAATTATAGATATGTTAATTTTGAACTATTTAACGGTTCAAAAATCAATCAACTTGTGCTTAATGTAACAAGACCATTAGTAAAAGCTTGGAATCGAAGAAATCTCAAGAATCAATCAGCCTGTGCTTAATGTAAACAAAAAAGTCCAAGTAATTTGTATTCTATTTATACAAAAATAAGTCTCCCCGTTGTTTCCTGGCCGTGGCTCGGCTGGGCCCTTCCCTTGTGGTTGGTTTCTTTCTCTCTTTTTTTCTCTCTCCCTCTCTCTCTCTCTCTCTTCCTTTCTTCTCTCCCCTCTCCTTTTCTTGTCCTCTTCTCTTCTCTTTCCCCTCGGGGTGCCTTGGTTTCTCTGGCTGGTAGTTGAGGTTTTCCTCCTTCCCGCGCGCTTCATTGTTTGGCTTTTAGCTTTTTTTCTTGATCTGGAGGGGTCTCCCCCCTCTCTATCAAAAAAAAAAAAATAAGTCGTATAAAAGACCGAAATCTAAAATCCAACTAAAAATCCAAAATTTATTCTATGCCCTTAAATAATACGATAATTCAAAATAAGTAGAACAACGTTTTTAGTTAACATGATGTCCAAAACTGTTCATTATAAAAACGGATTTTGTTTTTATTTCTATTTAACATAACAATAATATATTGTTAGAAATTTATTTGAATTATATTATGAAATATTTGACTATTTTTTTTAAAATGTTCCTTTTGGTTATTTTATATGCTTATAAGCTCGTTTTACTAAACATAATTAGTTTATCAGTTAATTTATTAGTCATCAACTAACTTATCAACTACTTTGTCAAACAACCTTTATACTTCTTTTATAAATACTGATCATATATGACATGATAAGTTTGGGAAACTAATTGATAAGTTGGCTAATAAACAATAAAACGTAAAATAACCAAAAATGACATCTTGAAAAATTAATCAATTGTACTATTTCAAAATATAATTGAAGTCAAATCTCTAATAATATAATACACTAACTAATATAAACAAGATCGTAAAAAGAATTAGAAAAAAAATAATATATTGATTAAAAGAATTTGAAATTGATTATTATATATTCTAATATTTGGATTTGTTAAAATAAATTTTAATAAAAATCTATTATCTATGATTTTAAATAACCATTACATATAATATTAATAAAAATATAAATGGTCTATCTCACCTATACTAATTAATTAATTTTTTTTCAAGAAATATGTTTAATTTATTTAATATATTTTTATTATCTATAAAATAGAATAAGTATAATTTTAATTTTTATGTTATATAAACATCATAAAATTATTATATTTATGTTTTAATAACTAAATATATTGAATAATAATATGAAAATAATCAATATGATTAATAATTAATATAAATAATTATTAAATTATATAATTAAAATTAATTTTCAATTTATATTAGTTAATATTAGTAATATTTAAATTTATTAATATTTATTTATAATTAGAAAGGTGCTCGCACAATGCAGCGAGATACATCTCAATTTTAATATTTTGTTTTTTTTGTCTCGGTCGATGTTATAAAAAATAGAAAAAAATATTAATATTAACACCAAAATGACTTTAAAATTTCTTTCTTTTTTGTGTATTTATTTAATTCATTTTTTTGTTTTAATAATATAATTTTTTATAAAGATAATAATTAAGTATTTTGTTAGAACTCAATGATTATTCTAATTATATTTTTTATTTTTTATTTAAAATAAGATGTTTATCCTGTATTTGATTATGTTTATCTGCAGTTAGTTATACGAATTCAGATATAGAGCTTTAATAAGTTGTACTTATGCACAGTCTACTTACAATCTTAGATTTTAAGTAATATGCATTAATAAACAGTACATTACGCATAAAAAGTGGTTTTTAAGAGTTTTTGTCAAATGCTTTATAATATAGTATAGATTAATAGCAATAAATAGTAATTAATATTAATAAGGATTATGATTAGAAAAAAATGATAATTAGCCATCAATATGATACTTCAAATAAAATTTTATTAAGTTAGAGGCTGTTTGACAATTGCTAAATAATTTGTTGCAAAATGATTAAGTGGTCAGAATGATTAAGATGCTCTCATGATATAGTGCAAAATGAAATATAATTGTTTGGTAATTATGTACATAAAATTAGAGCTTTTAATAGTTAAAGGAGATCAATGATACAAAATCATTTAGAGATTTTTAGAACCATTAAGAGACAGATTATTTTTGCTAAACAAGATTCATCTCTTAACGATTCAGAAATTATCTTTTAGTGAAACTATTAAAAGGTAAACAAACAACCTTTAACTTATAAATTAATTTATATATATTCAAACATGTTGTCATGACTTATTTGTATTAAAACAATACATGCTTATTAGACATTATAAATGCGTAATATTTTATGACGTGTAAATTATATGAATTTTTAGAATCCTCTCCTCCCCACACCGGCTTCTTCCATTTCCTGGTGCATTCCCCGTTGGGGATGCCCTAAAGACATCTGTTTGAAGGCCTCACTTCAACCGCACCTACTGTCCTTTCCTACGACGACCTTCGATCGCCGATTACCGGCGACCTCATTCACTTCCTCTGTTCAAATCTCCATCTATATCAATATAAACATCCTACATCAGGTCAGTCCTTAAACTATGTGGTTTTATGTCGGCGTGTATTAACAATCAGAAAGATTCAACCGTTGGTGGCCGGTTTATCTCGAAGTGAGGTTTAGCCATTGGTGTCTTCTTTCAATGTCAATTCCTGTTGTCTCTCGATGCCTTTCAACTTCCGTTCGAACCAAAAACCCTAGCTTTTGTTTCACGACGTTTTCAGTTACGAATTCGGTAGAAAAATTGTGGACGCATTTGCAGAGTAATGATCCAAACATTGAAAAAACCCTAACAAGAGTTGGGGCTAAATTGGATTCTTCATGCGTAAAGGAGGTGATAAGGAGATGCGGTTCTACTGATCAGCGTTCTATATTAGGTCTTAGATTCTTCGTATGGGCTGGGGTTCAACGTGAGTATAGGCATAACTCATACATGTATAACATAGCTTGTAAACTATTAAGGGTTAATCAAAATCCTAATGTGATTAGGGACGTTATCGAGGCATATTCTGTTGATAATTGTGTAGTGAATGTTAAAAGTTTTAAGGTTGTTTTGAATATATGTAAGGAGGCTAGGCTTGCCAATGAGGGTTTATGGGTGTTGAAGAAAATGGACTATTTTAATTGTAGGCCAGACACAACGGCATACAATGTTGTGATTAGGCTGTTCTGTGAGAAGAATGAGATGGATGAGGCATTTAGGTTGATGGAGGAGATGAGTTTGAGTGATCTTTACCCTGATATGGTGACATTTGTTGCAATGGTTAAGGGGTTTTGTGATTTGGGTAGGATAGAAGATGCTAGTAGGTTGTTTGAGGTTGTAAGCCAACAAGGGTGTTCTCCAAATGTGGTTGCGTATTCGGCTCTTCTTGATGGGATTTGTAGAGTTGGAAATCTAGAGAAAGGGTTGAATTTATTGGAGGAGATGGAAAACAAAGGTGGTGTTTGTGCTCCAACTGTTGTTACGTATACATCTATGATCCGTAGTTTTTGTGAAAAAGGTAGGTCTCTGGAGGCATTTACCATTTTGGATAGGATGGAGGCTTGTGGTTGTGCACCAAATAGGGTCACAATAAGTACCTTCATCAATGGCCTTTGCAAGGAGGATCGAGTGGAAGAAGTCTATAAGTTGATTGATAGAGTCGTTGCTGGTGGGAGTCTTTCCGAAAGTGAGTGTTATAGCTCTCTTGTGGTGACGTTATTCAGGGTTGGAAATTATGAAGACGCTGAGAAATTATTTAGGAGAATGTTGGTTAGTGGTTTGAAGCCGGATGGGTTGGCTTCTAGCACGTTCTTAAAGCGGTGTTTGAAAGAGCAACGAGCACTAGATGCTTTCGTGTTATACAATGAAATTGAGAAATTGGGGTTTGCAGCTTCCATTGATTCGGATATTTATTCTATCATGATGGATGGGCTCATTACCAAGAGCCATTTGTTAGAAGCTTCAAAGCTTGCTAGTATGATGGTTCAGAAAAGCATCCGACTTAAAGCTCCTCATATAGATGGTGTAGTCGAGTGTCTAAAGAATGCTGGAGAAACAGAACTAGTGTCGCATATATATAAGGTGAATGGTGGTTGAGTATGGCTGTATGATGCTTCTCTTTGTGTGTTGCTCAATTGTGTTGGGACACTTGTTGCCTTGTGAGACAAATTTAAAGAGGTTTCTTGCTGTTAGATCATGTTCTTCAAGATCATTAAAGCTCTTGTGGTTTCATTTTGGTATTTTGAGTTATCTGAGTACCTATTTCATCAAATTGAGGGGCATTTTTGTTTTTCTATTATTGTTAAAAATTTCTTTTAAAAAATAATATATTATATTAAACTTTTCTTGTATAATTGCTTAAAGCATTGGTACAAGTATTTAAAGCATCAAAACATCAACTCTAATTTTTGTTTCCTCACAACAGCCGTCGCTTCTCCAGAGACTGTGATCTTTGGTGATATTTGCGTATTTTTTTGGGGTTTGTCTTCCTTTTATCCGTTGGGGTTCTTGCCAACACCGCCTTTGACAGAAACATCATACCTTTGGCGGCAACAGATACGTGCATATGTGTGTATGTGATACTGAAACAATATTCGAAAACAAGGCTTCTGGTTTAGCCAATCAAGTAAAATAAATACAGGCCATTCCAATCTGGCTACCCCTGGTTTGCCAGAGCAGAAAACACGTATCTATGCCTGTCAAGAGAAGGTTTGTTCTCCGATCTTGTTCTGCTGCTTCCAATTTAGGGGTGATTTCCATAGATAAGATAAGAGAATGAAGATAAAGGGTTTTCATAATAGTTAATAGAGTAGAGGGATCTTCAACTGCAACCGACTGATTTCCATGGAGGATGTGGTGGTGACACCAACAGAACCACAGCTTTTGTTGGTGATGATGGTGGTGGGAGGGAAGTCGAGCAAAAAAGAAATGGGGAAGATCAATATTTTGGGGAGTAAACTTCACTTTTGGTCTTTAAAAGTGGAAACTGAACCAAACCGAACCGAACCTTAAGATGTTTTCTGTTGGGTTTGGATCTTGCTTTGAAAAAGGAACCTCATCACTAACGTCTCTAAACACGTCTGTCAAAGCCAAAGTTAAAATGGTTCAATCATGTTTCTCCTCTCTTTTTGTAATTCTTTTTTCGTTCTCTCTTATTTTTACAAAAACCATGTCTTTTTTCTTTTTTTTACTGGTGGTCTTTTTCAAAGATATGAAAGGACTTTGTAGCATTAGACATGTTGATCTCGAATCTTGGTAGGGAACATGGGGTGATGGAGAGCTCGACATTTAGTGCAGTAGGCGAAACACTGGTTAAACTTAAACGCATTGGGGATAATCAAGAACTTGGACAAGTGAAAGATAGTACCACGGTTACTGCCATTATTGTTGCTCTGTGTTCAAAAGGGCATGGCAGAGCCGCAGAGGGAGTCGTTTATCACCACAAAGATAAGATCTCGAATGTGAAACTTTTCATTTACAGAAATTTACTTCACGGGTGTTCTGTGCACGAGAATGTCAAAGAATCATCAAGGACATGAATTGAAGGGTGTAGGAATCACTTACTCCTATGTCCTTCATCCCATAATCAATATCTTATTGAAACATACCACAAACAATGAATAATATTAGTCCACTAGGTTAACACTAAAAGTTGAGTTAACAAAAAAAACCTACCTCTCTCTTTATATATAGAATGGTGAGAGGTAATCGAAAGGCAAGGACAATCTATAGTTACATTCTTTTAGTTACTTGATTTCAGAAGGGTGGTTTCATTAATTATTTATTTTAAATTAAATAAATTAACAAATAGATTAAAGTGTCGTAAAAAGGGTTGATGGATATTAAGACACTTTAAACCAGATTACGGAGTTTATATAGTTATAAAGGGTAAAAAGACGAGAATGAGAATTTATAATGGGAATGAAGTGTTTTAGTTAATAATTATTTGGAACATTATAATTCAGAACAAGGAATGTTATAAAATGTCAAAATGACGTTATATACTGTCACAAAGCTTAAAACTTGGGGTTTAACTAAATTCCATAAAGAATGATCGAATTGAATAAGGTAAGACTTTTAGACTTTATTAGAGTCCGGTTGACCTTATTGACATAGTTTTGCCTTTCGGGTTAATTTTGGAAAAAAAAACCCTACTCATTAATTGGCTATTAGGTTATCAGTCAGGGACGATTACTGGGCAATATACGTTATCAGCCGAGTCTTCATGAGACTTTAACTGGGATGCATGTTTACGTAAAAATAATCTGAGAATTATTTGATTTTTTGTACATGTTTATAGGTTGTTGCATGCATATGAATTATTATTATTATGGGTTACATGCTATTTTATTTATACGTTCTTAAACATTAATTAGCATGTTATAAATGGATTACTATTTTAGTCAGGTATGGAAAAATGTCAAAAAGTCATAAATGATGATACATCCTAGGGATGAGTGATCTGACAAGAGATAGTCGTGTAACCCGAGAAAGTGCTGGTGATGATAAGACTACCTGACTGGATTTTAAGAGATCTCACTATTATTTAAAAGGGTTTTGGAACAAATGTGCACATTATTATTTGAGTATTTTGTTTGTTGTATATTGCATAATGGAACATTTATGTTTTATATAAGCAAACCATGAACTCCCTGAACTTTATAAGCTGACTATTATTATGCATCTTAGAAGCAAGAGGTTGAAGGTGGACAAGGACACTGTTCTTGCTTAGAGATTCATATTACTATTATATTTGGGATATTTGGTTTGAACTCAGTTTGTATGCTTACCCAAATAAACATTTGGTAAACAGTCCCTAAGAGACATTGCTCTTGTCATACAGGACGAACAAATAGGCATGGGAATGGGGCAGGGACCTCAATCCCCGTCCCCGATTACTTATCTCTATCCCCGTCCCCGTCCCCATCCTCGTCGGGGAATATAATCGCATACCCATCCCCATCACCAACGGGGAAACGGGGATTTTTTTTTCCGTTTATGTAAGTTATTTTAAATTAAATATGTGAGAGATCATACATGTTTAAATCTCAAACATTTTCAATCAATCTAAAAGCAAATTGGATTTAATTTAATACAAAAAAACCATAACATCATAAAGAACTAATAACCTAAAACCAAAAAAAATCAATTGAATCCAAAAAAAACTTAAAGTCACATGTACCAAAAGATATTGAGTAATATAAACTCATATCGAGTAATATAAAAAAATTATCGAGTAATTATATTTTGACTTGACATCTAAAGTATTACATATTAACATCCAAAAAATAACAATTTTAGATTATAAACATTGTTAGAAAATATGAAATTATGAATTGCTGTTTTAGTTGAAATTATATATATATATATATATATATATAATTAATTAATATATATAACGGATACGGGGCGGGGAGTATCATACCCGTCCCCATCCCCTATTTGAGACAAACGGGGATCCCTATCCCCGTCCCTGTCCTCATCCTTGATTTAGCAGGAAATCCTCGTCCCAGACTGGGGATGGTGGACTGGGTTCCCCGACGGGTCGTGGTCCATTCCCATGCCTAGGGAGGAATCATACCTTGATACATGCTACCATATGATATATGAACACACAACTACATTTGTGAGATTTAAACCCCAGACCACGAAGATGGATTACCAAGGGCTAGACCAACGACCCTTTGGTCCATTTGAAGAATTTATTAGGGTGCTTGTCCGCCGCTTTTGACTGTTTAATCCCCCAAACCAAGCAACAATGACAATTTAATATTTTTTTCCAGAGTGAACGTTTGGCAACAAGTGACAAACGGTTAAATCGGACCACAACAAAGCGGTTTAATCTGACCAGTTTAGACGATTTATGCCTATTTTGAGCTTTAAATTAGAACTATAATGCGAACAATTAAGAATTGAAAACAAAGAATTAATGTTTTGTATGAACTCTTTTTTAATTGGGCCATAAAAGTTGACTCTACAACATGAAAACTAAACATAATTAATACATGTATATTTCTGCGGTTGGTTTTGTCCAAACCGTTCAAAAAAACGTTGAAATCGCAGACCGGATCGAGCCGAGGGATTTAGCTATTTTTCATATCAGACCGAGTCACCAAATTGTTTAAACCATCAAAACGTTTTGATTTAACTTGGTTCAACCGATTTGAACAATTCACCCGTTTTTTGAACACCCCTCAGCAAAAAAGTAAATGCCTCAAAATATCAATTTTCTCTATTTTACAAGCGTGTTGGAGATGCTCTTTAACCATATAGTAGCTCAAACTTTCTATTTTTTTTCCGGGGATGTTTACCAAACGCTACCCGGGTAAGCGTTTATCAAACCAAATTACCTTAACGGATGAATTGACAAGGACTGTAAGAGCGAAGCCAAGGACGAGAGTCTTACCTGGTAAATGAGAACGATAACTCTTACCACAGTTAACACTTACCTAGTAAATTACAATACATTTTTGATGAACTAAAATCTTACCTGGTAAATAAGTGATAATGTTGAATTTTTCTGGTAAACAATTACCCGGTAAACATTTGGTAAACGGTGAACCCTTCCACAATTTATCAATAAATTCGTCAAAATCAAAATTTCAAAAAAATATTTACATTTAACTAAGCATATTATATAATGTATCGGTTACATATATTTGTTTCATAGTGTGTTTGTTTTATATGTATTCATTTCACAATGTGAAACTTTTTTACGTGTATTTTGTGTTTCACAAACACGTTAAAAATGTTTGCATTGCGGACTGAATACAAATGAAACAACATATTGTAAAATAAATATATGTCAACTAATATTTTAAATCCTAGTCTTAAATGAAAAAATCAAATGAAATAACACATGATGCACAAGTTATCAAGATTACTATAATTTCATGGGTCTAAAAAGAAGCCCCCATTGGATATAAAACTTATTTGAAAATTAATTGAGATTTTAAATAGTTTAATAGGATAATTAACTTTGAAATATTTAAAAGGGTAAAATACGTGAAATAACAATCTGCTTTTACAAATTTCCTTATTATAACATTCTATTTTCAAAATTTCTTATTACAACAATGTACTTTTAAAATATTTATTTATGA